TTGATATTTAACATGGACAGATCCTTGATATTTAACATGGACAGATCCCTGATATTTAATATGGACAGATCCATTGATATTTAACATGGACAGATCCTTTGATATTTAATATGGACAGATCCATTGATATTTAATATGGACAGATCCTTTGATATTTAATATGGACAGATCCTTTGATATTTAACGTGGATGTTGCCTGCTTCGTTTTTGGTGTCTGAAACATTTCATGGTAAAAATAACATAATTAATCTTCACAACTACTGAGGAATTAGTAGGCTTTTTACAGCAGGAAATAACACTGTGGTGAGCTGTGTTTGATTATTAAGAACAAGCTCCCACCCATCACCCAAGGACGAGAGAAGGCAGCAGTTTTGGCTCTTTCTCATGGAACAAAACCTCAAGACAAACAAGAGTGTTGCACAACCTCACTGAGAACTCCCAAACCTCCTTGGGTACACCCCAGCCATGCCCTAGAAAGCTCAGGTGTTCCTTCAGGAGTCATTGTCCCACCCTGTCCCACACGAACAGGGAAGGAGGAAGGAAGGGCTGCAGAAACCCCGCTCCTATCGTCAAACGCCCGGCGAGCGGATCTTGGCACATCCCGCTCGGCTCGGCAGGAAAAACGAGTCCTGGAATGCAAAACTCCAGCCCAACTTCTGCTGCTCTCCCTCCAAGGAGGAGGGCAAGAGGAGCTCTTACTGTGTGGCCACTTTCTCCGTGCCGGTGGCAGCCCACGAGGTGACATTCCTCCCCCGTGGCACATTTTTTGGTGACTGACGTGCTCTTGCCGTGGTCTGTGAAGAGATGAACTGTCAAGCAGTACTGAGTGCCTGGAAAATAAGATTTCAAGAGGTTTATTCGCGTTAATAAATTAATAAATTAAAAACGTTCCTAGGAAATTCATTATTTTGGCTGCACAAAGCTATTTTCAGCTTGATTAAAATAGCATTTAGCGATTAATTAGTGATGAAATCTCAACCTTAACTGACCCTTCAAACCTCCAGGGAGGCTGCTACCATTTCAATTACTTATTAGCACTATAATTTACACATTTATCTTCCATTCTCTGCTCTTTCTGGCAGCACATTCTTGCTTTGTTTCCTCTAATTTACTTCTTCCCCTTTCCCACCATTACTGGGAATATCAGTGCAAAGAAAAAGGAGGAAACATATTTCTATCCTTTTCTGTGGATCCATCATCCCCTCCTACAGGTATGATATTTGTTATTGAGCCCCTGCTGCTCACAAGGAAGCCATTAAATCTTGGGATGGCATCCAAAGGGAATGGGATGAGGTTACAAAGACAATTTTTAAGATTTAAAATTAAAAAAAAATCTTTAACTCCTAGGAAGCCCATAACTATAAATATACACACATAGAAAGACATATATAATTAATATTATTGATATTATATATATTGATATATTATTAAGACTTCAATTATCACATTGATAATGTATTGTTACATACTATGTATTACACAAAATGTTTTGTAGATGCAGAGATAGGTACAAATAATTTTTTCCCTGTTGCTTTGCGCTCTGAAATGCTCAAAATAATCACCTCAGCAGAAATTATCTGATTCATATCATCAATAACAAGACTGAGGGCACCACAGTTGGCACATTAATCTCATTAATCACAGTTCTACAAGGTGGTGAGTCACATTTAAGTCTCACATTAGTCCAGACTTACACTTACTTTCAGGGCACCATCGATCTTCAGCCCATCTGTTACAGCTGTAATTGTCCTCTGCATTCTCACAGGTAAAGCACTTAAAGCTCTCTGGAAATGGGGTGGCTTTAAAAGCATTAAAACACAGTAAGTTTGCCAGTATTCAGAAAAAAAATAGAATATTCCAAATATTACCTGTACACACATATATAAAAAACTCACACATTTCCATATTTTCAAGGATATTTCTACTGTTAGATGAATAAAAGAAGTTTTACATTTTCAACTGGTTTTTCAAGGCCCGAACTTTAAAATATATTTTTGTGTTTTCATTCTCTCCCAAACCAAAATAAATCACTTAAGTGGGAAAAGCAGGAGAGAGAGAACAGTTTATTTACATCCTCGTGGAGGTTTGCACAGACCCACAAACTCAATCTACATTCAGATGGCTCTGGATTCCTTTGATGAGGAAAAAAAGGCATCTCAAAAAGCAGCTTCAGAGCTTGATTTTCAACTCCGAAGGAGAAGTTGGATCCTTTTAACAAAGGGATTGAGAGGACTGCCTTAAAATCTTATTTACATTATTTAAATCAATTATTTTAAGGTGCACAGCTCCCTAGATGCACATATATATCTAATTTATCTGCCTGTCCTGACTGTTTTAATGATGCAGATAATGAAAATGAAGGGATAGAACCCTTCTGATGCCAGATAAGAGGCCAAAAAAAATGATGCTATTAGTGACAACTGGCTTCACAGGTCCCACAAGGTTTTTAATTACCTTCAGACTGAATTAATTGCACACAGAACACCTATTCTTTCCCTTCACAAAACCCCCAACGAGATAAAAGACAAAAACCACCTGTCCTGTATTATTTATGAGAAACCCACTGCATAATCTGCTCTGTGGGGAGACATTTCAGAGCCAGAAAAATAGAATAAAATGGGAAAGACTTTAAAATGTGAACTCTAGCAGTGCCTGCAATTGTTTGTTTTCAAACAGTCAACTTGTAAAATATTCAAAATAAAGCGCTGTGGGTTGGAAAGCAAAATTATTATTTTAAACTTTTTCTCATGCTTGAAGGGGAAAAACACTAAAACCCAAAATATTGAAAGAATACAGGGAAAAACTATAATATTAAGTTAAATATTATATTATATTAAGCTAAAATATGAAGGGAAAATTGCAGATGCACATAAAAAAAATTAAAAAAAAAGTCCCTACTTACGGTCCAGGGGAGGCCTCACGTTGTAAAAGTTGATGTTCTCAGCTGAAACCCAAATTCCTGGAAGGAGGAAGAGCAGGAGAAAGGCCCCGGCCAGAGTGGGATGGAACAAGAACATGCTGAGGATTATTGCACATGGAAAGCCAAAGTCGGCCCTGGCAAAGGAAGAAAACACATTATTTTGGGGGAATCTGAGGAGCTGAGCGTGGAGAACAACAAATTTCCTATGAAATACGGCTTGGGAGCCTCGGGAATTCCGTGGGGAGGTCGAAAGGCAGCGAGTCTGAACTGCTGAACGACACAAAGCTGAGCTGGGAGTGCCTTCTGCTGGCCAGAATCCTGAAACTCCCACAAAATTCAAGTTCACGTTATTCTTTTCCATCTGTTTGCCCTTCCAAC